CTAGTCTAGTGCCTACAAGTGGTTTCAAAAACGTGAGAGATTAAAACTAATTTGCATTCTAAATTCTGTAATGTAAACAAAACAGCTTGAGGTGTTAAAAATCTATTAAAGTAGAAAACGTTTTCAAGATACCTGCCAACAAAAACAAAACTATTAACCACAGGAAAACACAAAATAGAGGAGGTTTTGTCTTCGTCCGTGCATACTACTGATATCCACTTCCCTAACACTTCAAGTTCAGATCGATATGCCAGCCCCCTATTGTGAAAAACCAATTTTCATAAGAATGCTATTAACAAAAGCGCAATCTATTACAAAACAAACCTCATCGACAACTGAATCTCCACGCTTACGTTAGCGGAATCAAAATAACTAATAACCAATTGTTGACATCTTGAGATTTATTTATTCTATTCTATTCTGCCTGTCGTCCATGCTGGCTCCAAAGCACGAAAACATGAGTTAGCCAGACCACCGAGCCTGTCTACATACACAAGCAGGTAGTACGTAATCGAAGGTCATACGGACGGATTCCTTGCTGCAAACTTTGGGTAAGTTGAAAGTCTTTGATATACACGTAATGTCGCTGAAACCAGTAGCGGAAATACCGTGTGTAACTCGCCATCGGATACGTACTGGTATGCTAAAGCACGATATTGCAGATATCGAGGTATTCAATAATTTTCCGTTTGGCGGACTCGGTCGCCGAATGAGCGTCTTGAAACGATGAATGAGTCTTCAACAYGAAACTGATTCATGTGACAATATTGACGAGGAACAAGTTAAAACATGCAAATTGCAAGTAGTATTTAGGTGGTGAAAGGATAAAAAACATGCAACCTTGAACAATCTTTTGCGTGACTTGTATGTTTCGCAGCCTCGGTCGAAAGCATCGCTGCTTTAAAGACTATACCGATCTATTGTGCTGATTCGATCTTTGAATGTGTTAAGTTGCAGCATTTCTATCGACAGTTGCTGTTATTACGGGCTGTAACCAGAATAGTTTGAAAGTAGCAAAGTGTAAGTTAAATTGCTTGAAATTGAGAGTTTGTCACAACTAAGTAGGTGTGCAAAACGACCTGGTCGAGGAATGATCGCAAATTAATGCGAAAGGAGTCCACTGTTTTGGAGTGTTTACAAATATTTCTCGACTTTGCGTGCAATGCCAGACATATCCGGCATAGAATGTGTTCAATAGTCGCTGCAACTCAAGGTCATAGGAGCAGTTTTGTAGAAACAGTTGCAGGCCCGCAGCTATTTACAAAACTACAAAGATAATTAGATGCCTTTCACAACTGCCGGTGAAAACATTCATGACTCAATAAAAGACTTGCTTATTCATATTCTGAAGAGAAACGGCCATCTACCAGTACTACAAGAGATCGAACGACAGCTTACTTCGAT